TGAAGCCATTGGTGATAGTTGCTAGTAGATGGTGCATGTGATCGGTGTGGAAAATGTATAATGTATTTGAAAATAAGGATATCTAAATATGCTAGAAATGAGCTAGAGAGTGAATTCCAAATTCACCCATGAATTAGATTGCATTTAAAATTTACCATACTAAACATTTAAATTTTCAAGACATGCGTTTGGAATATATTACACTACTAATGCAAAAAATGAGACAATCCTTTAGTAATTCATTTATTTCAGCCCAAGCAATTATATCTATGATGCATGACACTTCTCAAATAGGCGTGCAATATCCAATACGTATCCGACATGACATGCATTTGGCACACCTGCGTCACGTGTCGAATACACCGAAAATGTGTCCGATTAAAAAAATATTAAATACAAAATTTGACATGCGTGTCTTAAATATTTAATGAAATTTTTTTAGATATAATATCTTCTATTTATTTATTTAATTAAAATTTCTATTTGTTTAAAATATAATTTATTGTTGATTGGAAATTTATTATTCCTATTCACAACATCAAATCAACCTCTCACACTCAATATCATATTCATCGAATATTCTCATTTTCATTTCTCTCTAATAGGTCGTGATTTTGCTTTCACAATAATGTTTGATGTCATTTCAACATCGATATCTGATGTCATTACAACATAAACATTTCAAAATTATCTCAACATCAAAGTTTAACATTGTCTTGATATTGATGCTCAACGCTAGCAATTTCTACGCCACCAACTTAGCAGGTCATCTTTGTTTGATGTTGTCTTAACATCGATGACCAACGCCCTCTCAATATCGACAACAGACACCCTCTTGATATCTACGCCCAATACTTACTACATGACATTGATGTCCGATTTTCGACGACATTGTTGTCTCCTCTCTCGATACCTAATACATGACATCGACGTCTGACTCTCGATACCCTAATATTAATCATTTTAAGCACAAATTATAGTTAAATGACCTATTATTTTTAAATCATTTTTAATATTATATTTATTCAATTTTTATACACAATTTTTAAAATATAAAAATTATAATACCGTGTTCAACCCGTGTTCGTGTACGTGTCATATATTTTCAATAATTGACATATACCGTGTCTGTGTCGTGTCATATCTATGTCGCCATGTCTGTGTTTGTACAACATAGAGTTATATATTCTCTGTCAAACATTTCCCTTGGCTTCACCAAACTCATCCTGTATATTTTAGCTTCCTTTGTTAATTTTAGTTTCACAAGTTTTACTCGACACTTTTTCAACATTATTTTCCATTCAAAGTTATTCATATCCATTGCCCAATCATAAAAAATTTTAGGATCTATTTTTGCATAAGATGCTGGCACCTAATTTTTTTTAACTTCTAGTCATGCTATCATTTATGTGATAAAATTGATTCTTATGATTACCTTTATCTTCATTATCATTCAGCCTAAAACATGTATCCTTTTGATTTCTTCCCGGATGGATTTATTATCTTGTGGTAGTGTTAATATTTAAATGAATTGATCCATCATTAAGGTTCTATTCGTTCTGAGGTATTATGAGTTATTACATTTAGAACACATGTATTTTGATATTGAGGGTGTTTGATATGAAGTAAAATAAATTGAAAGTATTTTTGTAAGGAATTTTTTATACCTTCAATTTTTCATTTTTGATGATTTAAAACTTGTCTGAATTGGACTAATTCAAATTCATCGTTCGTGAATGTCCTCACAACATCCTCATGGCCTTGTCAGACCATGTGTAGGCATTTATGTGATCATGAACTCTGTCCCAACATCCACATCACTCGCATCACAAACTCCTTATGTTTTGGTGTCCCTATGCTCATATTTGCACGCCGCTAGGTTTCCCTAGGTTCATCCTTGAGACATTGCCATTGATCCGGCCAACATTGTCAATTGCTTTGACTTCGTCTTGCTACATGATCTTTTTCCTTTTTTTTTAAAAAAGAGTGTATTAAAGAAATATATTAATTCAAAATATGTATTTAAAGAACATATTAGTATAGAAATTTAGATTTATTTTACTTTCAATTGAACAGGAAAAAAAATTCCTACATTTATTTTGTAACCAATGAAATAACCTTATGTATTCCAACTATAGTGTATTTAATTTTCTTTGCATTTATAATATATGGTGTTCTAAATACTCCTAGCCAAACAAACCTTGAGATTATGGTTCATGTGGGTGAATTTGATTGGCCTTTAAAATTTTAATTCAGTCCATAATCTGATTTATATCCTCAATCTTTTGATTCTTCATATGATTCAATCAATTAGTTTTGCAAAGTAAACAAAATCTGATCCTTCTGATATCCTCTCAATTGACCATAATATTGAGGCCCACTCTAATTGGTATTTTGACAATTTTAGGCTCTAATAGCAAATATAATGCATGACATATTTGTGGATTTAAGGAATTCCTGATGCATCTAGGATGAGATGTACAAAATCATGCACATCATATTAAATTTATAGCCCACAAACTCTTAATATTTCAAAACGTTTCTTTTGATGAAAATTCAAAGCACATAATATTTATTTCAAACAATAGTTTAATTATCACTTAATTAGGATTTTGCATGCAAATTTAAGAGCATTAAATGCTACATATTTGTTGAAATCTCACATTGCATCATAACCAAAACCATCAAACACTCTCATAATATAATTCTAAAATATGTAGATGAAAAAGTAATAAGGAAATAATTCACCAAATATGAGATCTATGTTTCAACAACCAAATTAGCGACTCTTGCAAGAGTAAACAAGCTCAAGTTTCTACAAGGGAATAGTGAACCTGCGGGTAAGCGGACAATGATCTAGCCATTGGTTGAAAATAAAGAAATAAATAGGGAAAAAAATAAATGCCGATGATAATAGCTGTTGAACCAGAATATTAATAGTGAACCCATAATATTAAAAATGAACTGATTTGGACCAACTTGAGTAGGAGAGCACAATTCATTCTCTATAAGAAGCATTATCTTATACTTGTTTGCATCAAAATATATAATAAAAATAATGAAAATTAGTAACCAAAGAAAATCATAGCGTAAAATGTCAATTCATTTTTCTCGAGTTTACATCATGCGTTTGCATCTATAATAAATATAAAATTTGATAATTGCATCACTTAGTACAAGGGAAGAACTTTTGTTTTTTTTCATAGTTTTCTCAATATTTTGGATAGCAGATTTTCTATTTAGTAACTAAGTTCTTTCTGCCATGTATATAAAAGCAATGTCCAAAGTGTAATGCTGTAAGAAACCTAATGCAGCAAAGGCCAAGGTTAATGTCACACCAACTAAGAAGGCACTGCATTAAAATTTAAACTATATTTTTCTCCCATCAATCTACCCATCTTTACTCTTTCACATCAATCCTATAGGATTTTCATCCATTTTCATTCAATCAATGAGAAAGGAGCAAGTATAAATAGGAAAACTCAAATAGGCACTTATGGATATCAGGATCAAATTGATTGAACTCATGTCATGACACTATTGGTCAGTTATCTATCTTGACCTGTAATATAACTTACTAATGCCAAGGCAAAGGGTCAAAAAGCTAAACACCGCGATTCCTAAAAAACATCAAACCTGTCTTCTTAGTGGACCTCCATTTCCAACGTTCTAATGAAGACTTGCTGGTACTAATTTATTTATATCACATTGATACTAATTTATTTATATCCATGTGAACCCTGGGGAATGATTGTTGAATTGAAATGTGTTGGGCTAGTAGCCATGTGATTTTTTGTGGTAATTCCTTGCAATGAGAATTATAAACCCAACCTTGCATAGTAAATTGTAAGATTGGTGGTGCTCAGGTGCAGAACTGTGTAGTGATGATGGGGGATAATTGCCCCTCCTAAAAAATTAAAACTTTTAGTATGTTAAGGGTATTTGTAATCCCCCCCCCCCCCCCGATTTTTTTTTTTGCCCTTGGCTAATGCCCTTGGCTAATCTTTTTTTTTTCACGCAATTTGCCCCTCAAAAAATCGGAAAGTCTCTTAGCCTCCCGCTATTTTCATCTAATTATGTTGATTTTTTTTACACTAACAAACAAGTCTGTAAAAAGCAATTATGTACAAAATAAATTATTTTTGCATCCTTATATATATATATATTTATTTTATTTTAAAAATTTGCCACTTGTCCCCTGAGAATTAAAGGCTGGTTCTGTGCCTGGTGTTGCTAGTGATAATGGCCATGGGCTATTAATATCCTTCCACTAATCATATCGATGGTCCGAGCCCTTTAGTAAGCATCTTTCCACCTATTTGTAATTGTAGGATTGTTGGAACCACTCTTCATGAAAACTTTCAGTCTGTTTATTCATTGCAATTTTTTTTCATCACCGGTGGTTATTTATGCATTTTATTTGGTTATAAGTAATCAAAGTGGTTCCAAGCAAGGATTTTGTTAACTTCCATGAAACACTTTAGCTTAAAATTAGTTATTGAATGCTTTTGCTACTATTTTTGTACAGAAAATCAACAGTAATAACCTTCTCATAAGTAGAAAACTTCAATCGCCTTGTGTAAAATTATCATATTAACTGGTGCTATATGTGAATTGTGAATTCTTAAGCAATTTTATAATTAAAGCTTCGTTTGGGATTGTTTTTTTATTGTTTCTTAAAGCAGCTTTTAAGTATAAAACTTTTAATTTTTTACTAAAAAATTACTTTAAAAAACAGTTAGAAAGCTGTCCCAAATGAAGCCTAAATTAGGAGATTTTATTATGTACGGAGACCGGACGGGAGAACCGTCCGGTTAAGCATTGGGTACCCAGCGGTACTGAGTGCCGGTATCGAGCTGGGTACCCACCAATGAGATGACATAGCGTATTTTTATTGGTCTCCGGATGCCCTCCGCATAGAATAATTCTTCCTAAATTAGTCGGTGTAACTACTTGGCTTCTGGAGTAATATTTGACTAAAAGGAAATTTTTTTCTTCAGGGAAAATGTCATAGCAGATCATTGTCTGATGTCTTTGGAGCCTTCTCACCTATTAACTATGAAAATCTGCTCTCCACGTGGCAAAGACATTGGTGGAAGAGTTTTTTTGCTGGGAATTTTTTAATTATTTTGCAATATGTATGTGATATTAGTTTAGTTTATGTTATCTGTATTATAATATAACTTGATTTGCAGTCTAATCTTTACTTTTGCCCTGTATTTCTGAATCCTGCTCTGCAATTGCTTTGGCTATATATCTGATTGAAAGATATAGGTAGTTCACAAATTATTTTTTTTGGAAGATTTTCGTGCTTCATTTGAGACAGTTTTTTGCTCCTTTTAAAGAATTTTTATACTGAAAAATTGTTGTAGGAAGCAATAAAAAAATTATTCATAATGAAATCTCAATCATCAAAGTGAACCTTCAACGTTTTGGTTTGAATTTTTCTTCTTATAACGCTACCAACATATGAGACTGAAGGTTCGTTTGGAACGGCTTTTTTATTGCTTTCTAAAATGGAGTTTTAATACAATTTTTTTTATTTTTGTACTAAAATTCTGTTTTAGAAAGCAATAAAAAAGTCGTTCCAAACGAAGCCTCAGGCTTCATTTGGGATGACTTTCTTATTGCTTCATAAAGCAACTTTTTAGTTCAAAAAAATTAATTTTTAAACTAAAAAGTTGTTTTAAGAAACAATAAGAAAGTCGTCTTAAATGAAGCCTGAGTTTCCCTCTGCAATTATGTTATCGCTGTTAGAAAATTTTGAAGTGTTTGTATGCTTTGTAGTTTGTTTATGTTTTGTTTTAGTTGCTGAAGGTAAATGACTGAAACTTTGATGGAACTATTATAGCTTGGAAAAATTAAGTTTTGGTTGCAGAAGTTGCTGAGCGTCTATAGAAAAATCTGAACTTAGGGCTTATTTTATTTTGTATTAAAATAGAATGGGCAAATTGTGGCATTCTTATTGTCGATAGTGATTTATTCCTTTTAGTATTTTAATCAATTTACATTAGTTTTGGGAGGATTTATATAAATACCCTAAATTTTATATATTTGGGGGTTGATTGATTTGAAGCAAAAAGGGTGCAAAAGTATTTGAAAGAAAAGGGTTTTGAAAATATTAATGATTGGTTTAAAGCAAAAGATATACGAAGGAAAATTTTGAAGTATTTTGCAATCATTCTTTAGTTCAAATTTGATGTATTAGAAAAGTATTAAATTTGATAAATTTTTTAATATGCTGTAAATTTTATGTAGTTACTGTGACAAGATGTTGTCATTGTTATTTTATATCGTCTATAGTTACAATTTGACGACCTTCGCTATCATCGTTGCCTGCTATTAATGTCGGTCCACGACATTGTCATACATAGTGCACCCCACTGCCAATGTCGGTCGGTCCATGATGTTGTCATACATTGTGCACCATGTTAGTTATCACTTGGCGCACCACTGCCTGTTGTTAACCTCTGATCGCTGCAATCACTGTTGGTGTTGCCCACTATGATCATTGGTGGCTATCAGCTGCCACTATTATTGGGTTTTATATTTAATTCATTTTATTTAAGAAAAAATAATAATTACTTATATTTTATATTCATTCAAATGATTTCAAATACTTTAAATATGATATATTTTTTATATTATATTGTATTTAACTCTACATTTAATCCAATCAAACCACCACTTAATAACTACATAGATATATGGATGGTTATAAGTAGATGTAATGTTCAAAAATTTATATATCAGAATAGTTAGATTGAAAGAATTTAATGGATGTTTGATATTAATCTCTCATATATCTATTAATAACATATTAGTATAATTAATTTGAGTAGCATCCATTTTAATGTCATTATGTTTGGCATCATTTTAGCTTTCCAAATGAACCACAAAATAAAAATGGGCATTAAATTAAAGATGTGACCTTTAGAAGTATTCATCTAACCCTCTAACATAGACAATACATCATTATTAATAATAACATTACTTTTGTTGGCGAGAGCTATAAAATAACTCCACACTTTTTGAGCAATATTCCAATTCACAAAAAGATGATTAACATTTTCCACGTTAGAACAACATTGACATTTGGAGGGAAAAATAAAACCTTTTTTCTGAAGCAAGTCATCAACCGGAATAAAACCTTTAAGACACCTATAAGCAAGGATGGAATAAGAAACGGGAATATTGCTATGCCAAATAACATAATAAATGAGAGAAGTTACATATTTAATCTGATAGTGTTCCAAATATTCTTCAACTGAAATTTATGAGATGAAGAAAGATTGAACAAAATTTTATCTTGCATTATAATTGTAATGGAATAGTCAAAATAATATCAATTAAAACAGAAGGAATGATCTCTAAAAGTTTATTGACTTTCCAATTATCATTAATAAAAAAACTATACACCTTAACATTATCAATAGAATGCAATTTAAAAAACTATCTATAGAAAAAGGTCCCAGCTAATTGTCTTGCCAGAAAAAAATATCGCATTTACCTAGGTCCCATTGAATGAATTGCTCAACCTCCCATTTAATGTGGCACAACCTTTTCCAGATCATGGAATCAGAACTTTTATAACAACATAACCCCGGATGAATATCTTTGCAATATTTAGCATTCATATAACGAACCCATAAGCTTGTTTTAGATTTAAATGAGAACCATAATTTGTGAGAAAAAGCTTGAGCCATATTAGTTAAATTTTTGCAACCTAGACACAAATCTTCTTCCAAGAAGCCCAACAAATATCATTGCTATTATATTTAGAGCCCTAGATAAACTTGTTAATCATTCTCTCTACTCAAAGGCAAGTGGACACAGTAAGTTGTAATTTATGAAAAATAAAGGGGAATAGAATTCAAGACAGTTTTGATGAGAACCAATCTACCACCAAAAGACAGAAAATTAGAAGACTAATGAAAGAATTTTCTTCGGAATTAAAAATAGTAAATATATCTTCAAAGAGATGTTTTTTTCTTTTTACCTTTATAAATAGGAGTACCCAAGTACTTTATGGGCAATAACTTGGATTGGAAATCACAAATTCTTTGGATAGCATTAGTTCTATTCCGATTAACAAACTTACCAATAATAAAGGTACTTTTATCTTTATTTATGGCCAAGTCACTCATTTCATGAAATTGGAAAAGCAAATTGATCAACACTTTAATGCTATTAATGGAACCATTAGAAAAAATAATAAAATCATCAGCAAAGCTAAGATGAGAAATCGGGAAACCCCGCATAGTACGTAAAATAAGCTTTAGATGCCTTAAATATAAATCTTCCAACCCCTTGGAGAGATATTCCACGGCAATATTAAAAAGAGCAAAAGAAATAGTATCTCCTTGTCTTAAACCTTTAGAGGATTTAAAAAAATCATGATTCCTACCATTAATGATCACAAAGAAATAATAATTCTAAATATTATTCTTAATAAGCATGATGAAATAATCACTAAACCTAAATAAAGACAAAACATTGTATAGAAAATTCCAGTTGAGATTAGCATAAGATTTAGTAATATCAAGTTTCAAGATAATATTACCCCTTTAACCTTGGTGTTAATATCATATGTAAGCTCTTGAGCCAAAAGAACATTGTAAAAAATACTCCTATCCTTCACAAAGCCAATATGATTATATGAGATAATTCTAAGAATAATATTACCAAGTCTATTAGAAATGAATTTAGAATTGAGTTTGTTAAAAAAAGAACAAAGGCTAATCGATCTAAAGTCGTTCCAATTATTGGCCCCATCTTTTTTAGGAATGAGAACAATATTCATAGAAGAAAAGAATTTAGGGTAAGGATTACTAGAAAAGAAATCTTTCACGGCTTCAATCACATCCAGTTTAAAAATTTTCTAAGTTTTTTGAAAAAATTTGATAGTGAAACCATCAGGACCAGCCACGGAATCATCATTCATATCATTAATAACATTGAAAATATCGATTTCGAAAGGAGAATGACTAAGAAAATTATTGTCATTATCATTAATAATGTGAGGGATAACATGAGGATTAATTATAAGAATAGAACTACTCTGGATATTAAAAATATTCATGAAGGATCAACTCCAGACTTACTAATCAAATCCTCCTACTCAATCATGCTACCATCGTTATTAACAATTTTATGAGCATGGTTCTTAATTCTATTCTTATTAGCCAAAGCATGAAAAAATTTAGTATTCCTATCACCCTCCAAAATAAACTTAGCATTAGACTTTTGCCTTAAGAAGGTTTCCTCCTGAAACTGCAACTGAAAAAGATAGTCCTTGACAATGTTAAGGTGTTAAGGTTGTCAAAATTAGGATTTTCTGAGTAAGCTTTATCTAACTCAATAACCTTAATTTCTGCTTCCTTAATATTAGTAAAAGTATTCTTAAAAATATTTTTATTCCACCATCACAAAAACTGCTTTAATCTACTCAACTTAGACCATAATCTTATCATACCAGTGATATTATTATCAGGGTAAACAGGAGCATTTCAATTAGTATGAACCACATTCATAAAATCAGCATGAGAGAGCCACATGTTTTGAAATCTAAAAGCAAAAAAGAACCAACATTTCTATTAGCATTAATAGTTAAAAGTAAAGGCGAATGATCGTAAAGAGTTATGCTTAAGTGTTCAACATTAGACATAGCAAAATTAGCAAGCCAATTATTATTGAAAAGGATCATGTCAAGTCTTTGCCACAAAGTAGTTCTATTCTAAGTAAAAGGACTCACAGAAAAATCAAAATCATTCAAGTTGCAATCATTAATCATAGAATTAAATTCTTCCATAGCTTTCAGATTAGGAGGGCTTCCCCCCACTCTTTCAGAAGCATTAAAAATAATATTAAAGTCACCACCAACACACCAAGGCCCATTAATGGTAGGAGCAAAATCAAGTAATTGATCCCAAAGAGGAATGCGACAAAAGAAGCATGATACTTAATATTAAAAAAGCTAATTTAAGAGTTAACAACTTAAGGAAAGTCGGAAATGATATTCACATCAATGGCACTATTCCACGTAATCCATATTTTATTAGAGAAATTAGCATAGTACATAGAAATACTCAAACCAGTAGCAATAAAAGCAAGCTTATCATTCGAAATAAAAGGCTTAATCAAAACTAATAACTGAGTACTATGCACTCTGCAAAGATTTTTTACTCTAACTTTAGACTCCTTACCGCTAATACCCCTCACATTCCAAATAAGAGCCTTAACCATTATAATCTTTTGAGGTAGTTTGAGTTCTGGTGGAACGAGGAGTAGAAGGTAAAGAATTCTTAATATGTTTACCTTTCTTTTTACCAACCTTAATGAAACAGTCATCATCAACACTTCTTTTAGCAACTTTATCATGATTGGAAGAGAAGGTATCAACATTACTCAAGATAGTCTCATGATTCACATTTATAGGATCCAAAGTAGAAGAATGGATGAATTCACCTTCTCTACAGCCCTCATTAGAGACATCCATATTACCCACTAATTCAATATATTTCACACCATCTCTATTGGTATTAGAAAGCAAAATAGATAAGATAAATTAGGATTCTCCTTGTAATGGAGCACAGCGAAAAGAAAATTTTAGGACCATTTTCAATATCATTGTTCACAATAGCCGTATTATTCTCCTCCTTCTCGGACAAAACTTCCATTCTATTTTCCTTAAGGTCCTCATTTAGAATAATATTATTTTCCAGCTTATCGTTAAAGGGAAGCAGTTCCACCTGATCCACATGGATCAATTCATTGTCATTCACGATAGGCATGCATTTTTTTTCGGTGGATCCAAGCTTCCCACTAGACGGAACAACAGATTTTTTAATTATGAATATAGCTTAAAATATTCAGTTTGAGCATAACCATGGACCTTATAGTGAGAACAAAAGCAGACACTTTTTCAAATTCAACTTTTTGAAAATAACCGAAGGCTTTTGATCCAACCCATATTTCCTTGGCATGCTTTTTGGTAATATTGATCTCAACTAGAACTCTGGCCACAGACGGTCGAGTCCTAGATACAGTCGCATGATCGCTTGTAAAACTTTTGGATTGAAGAAGTGAAGACACAAATTAGGAAATGAAATCCAAATAGGAACAATAAGCGATTCTTCCTTAATATCAAAAAAAAGAGTCCATTTCAAATACGCATTTGACAGTTATATATGAAATACAATTGCCTAGCAAAAACTCTACTATAATCAAGATCGTTGGAAAGCTGTATAGCAATGTGTCGAGAATCAAGTAACCCGACCGAATAAAAACCCAAAAGTTTTAGAGTAGCAAAAAACCGGCGGATAGAATCCAGATTAGGTCTACGCAAACCAAATTGACCAACCAATGTAAATTGAAAAGGGAATGCAAGTTTAAGAACTTCATCATCATACAATTGAACTTCTGTTACCCCATTAAAAATCGTTTGGGTTAAAGTTGGAAGAACATCACATGCGGAGGTGCTACCCGAGAGCACCTCTTTGAACGATCGCGATCGAGAAGGCGATTTTTGACCATAAGCATCCAAATTAAAAAGCCTTTGTTCTTATTCAGCACATGCAGTCTCAGTAGCGTTTCCACATGGGGTGAATGATGAAGCACCTGCCATTTGATGGCTTGCCTGAAAAGGGGCAAGAAACCCAGAGAGGGACGTCGTGAATATGCTAGACAAACCAGCAAACGCGAGAGGAAAAATGAAAAGGAGTGGCCAGAAACAAAGGGAGAGAAAGGAAGCCCTAAATCGCCCAGGACGGTACGTTAGGGCGAAGCTGAGCTAGACCTATATATATATATATATACAGATCCCTCAATGTGCAAAACTAGGTCATTATTGCTTATTTTATTCTATTTAGAACTTTATCATACCATGCATTGCTTCATGTCCACTCCCTTCCATATCAACATAGGCCTCTACCTAAACTTGAGGATTGTTAATCTATGTGGAATCTGATTGTGTTGATCCATCAAGTTTTATTATTATGTACCCAAGCACCCTGATATGAATGTGTATAGTACCTGTGCGCCCCGATGCTGCATACCGGGGTGCACCGGTGATATAAATTTTGTTAGGAGAAGTGACAAAGAGCAAAACACCACAATGCTCTAAATTCAACATTGAAACGTTGCTAGGCGAAGTGGAGATTAAGTATTGAGTGCCGCAGCACTCTAAAATGGCACTATGGCGCTTCAAGGTGGACTAAATAGTTTTTCTTCCTCGTTTTTCTTAAGGGTATCGTCCCTTTGTGGTATATAATTGCTTTTCATTTTTGTGTAGTGCGAGAATGATAAAAAATTAAAACTTAAGAAAGGGTTATTCCGTGAAAAGAGATTATGTGTAAAATAAATTATTTTTACATCCTTATATATTTTTATTTGTTTATAAATTTGTCGCTTGCCCCCCTATGGACTAAGGCCGGTTCGGCCCCTCTTTACTAAGGTTATACATTAATGCTACAGCATAAAGCGTTTGGCATTTGAAATCAAAAGCTAGGAGCTTAACAGCTTGCAGGCAGGCATTAACTAATCCAAAGACCAACTAGGAAGGAATATCAAGTGAGGTTTCTCACAGCCTTTTCAATGTTAAGAAACTCATCACCCATCAGTCATCTTTTGAGCTGTCAAATAGGAAAAAAGTCCAAATCTAGAATTTGAACTCAGAGCAAATGCTGGAGAAAAATAAACCAGAAGAAAATTTTGAAAAAATGAGAGTGAATGACAGCTTCTATCTACCAAATATTTTCTGTTAAAAATATATTTCATGGGCATGTATAGCTTGCTATTTTATTATTATTTTTGAACTAGTTTATATTCAATATAGTTGGTATATTTCTTTATTATTTTGCATACAGGTTGTAACACAGACTGAGAGCACACAAAAAAAAGTTTTTTTTTACTGATAAATCAATATAAATTCACATATTTGTTGTTATACTTCCTAAATTTCTTGTAAATATTGATATATCATCCTATTATGTTAAATAGGGGTGTAACCGAGACATGCTGACTAGTTAGCTAGCTCGAGCTTGACTCGATAAATTGCTTGTGAGCCGACTTGATGAGCTAACTAGTCAAGCTTCAGCTAGCACCAACTCGACTAGTGATGTTAATATTAAATACAATTAAAATATAAACATATTAAAAAATTTTAGTATAAATTAGCTAAAAATGTTTAAAAGCTATATTTTTTTCCTAATTTCAAGTAATTTCTTAATATTTTCTATTTAATTTATAATTCTTTTTATCATGTTATTATGATAATTGCTTGAATAAAATTTTATTTCTTTTTTATGACAAATGAGATGACGGTTGAGCCGACTTGAACTCTTAAAATTAAGTTCGAGCTCTCTCGAGCTTGAACTCAATTAATTAATTAAGCTCAAGCCGAGGTTTATTTGAGCTTGGCTCAATTCATTTACACCACTATTGCTAAACTTTTATTTATATACCACCTAAAACTGTTATATCCCACTACCAAAAAAAAAAAGAAATTTTATGCAGCAGTTATTTGGGGCGGTTAGAAAATTGCCACCAAATCCCTCAATTCGTAGCAATTTGGACCGTTACTATTTGCACAAGGTTTTAACCAATGCAAATAACACTGTTTTTGACCCCTGCCAAAATCCCTCCCGGTTTTATACACGATTCGACAGATGTCCAAGTAAATTTGTGGCTGGTAAAACCGGTCATTAGGAAAAATCTAAATTTATGCTGCGATAGCCTTATTTTTTGATAACATCAGTACATAACAATAACAACAACAAGCCTTTATCCTACTATGTGGGGTCGGCTACATGAATCCTTTTTCTCCACTGTGCCCGTTAAAAGTCAAAGTCTCAGTAATATATGAAAAATAAAATAATATATACATCTATAAATATGAAAATTCGCAATGATATGTCAGTTAAAAACTCCTTACACAAAAGGATTATTTATAAGCTTATTCACCAAATAATTCCTCCTATCTTCCAGCTCTTTCTGTATCTCCCTTAAATAATGAACATAAACACTCTATAACACCTGTTTATAGAATATTTAAACAAAGATGTTATCTGTACTGAGTGTTGAAACCAAGAAAACATATACTAAGTTATAATTAATGTCTTATTAGGCTACAAACCTGGAAGAAATGATCTGATACACAAACTATCAAAGCTAGCTCAGAAATCAATACTAGATAGAATCAAATGTCTGTTACATCTCTTAGATTTTATTTGTGATGGCTTTTCGTATGCTACTTAAAACAGTTTTTTAGTACAAAAATTTAATTATTTTACTACAAAACTGATTTAAAAAGCACTAAAAAAAGCCTTCCCAAACATGTGCTTTATAAAATTCATATAGTCAGATCTAGAGTACTTGTCATCTTTATATGCAGATCCTTCTCCTTCACTTTGCTAATCTTTGAGCATGTCTTGCTGAACCCTTCTTCTTCTAGCTTTGAGAGAGGAGGAGATAACAAGGAGAGAGATAGACTGCATTCCACCTCTTCTCCTTCCTTCCTTTGTGCATTAATGTTTAAAGATAAAGTCAGATCTGGTAAGATTTCACTATCTTCTTCTCTCCATGATCTGATCATTTCTTGTGTTTCATAGAAAGATTTTTGTCTTTCAAGTTCTTTATGATAGAGGGAACTGTTCATGGAAGTGAGTAATTATGTCTGATATCCAGCATGGAATTTAAGAAGAAAGGAAGGGATTTTCATACCTCAAGTTTGAGTATCTTTCCTGAAGACTGTGTAAAATTGGAAGATAGTTAAGTCTGTCTTTGATCATGGAGCTTGGATTGGCTATAACTGAGATATTTTAAGAACAAATTTAATTTAATTGCTTATTTTCTTTGAAATTTAGTTTTCGTTTGGGGCAGTATTTTTACTGATTTCTAAAACATATTATTATTACAAAAATTTTTAATAAAAAATTTTTGAATTAGAAATTTTTATACTGGAAATCCATTTTAGAAAACAGCAAAAAAGTTATTCCAAACCGAGCTTTAATGCATGATCATAGGACACAAAGAAGTTTGGTTCAGGATTGCTACTATGAAAGATAGCTTAAGATTCTATTGATATTTTGCTGGATAAGTTTTTCTCCGGATAAAACAGTAGTAGTAATTCTTTATTGTCTTGATTGCTGTTTTACAAAATAAGAAAATAAATATCTTAATACCTGCTTGGGATTACCTTTTTTCCGTTTTTTGTTTTTAATTTTTAAGAAAATATGTATACTTAGTATATTTTAAAAAAAACACTCAAAAAAATTGTTATATTAAGGCTTCTTTTGGGATAGCTTTTTTACTGCTTTTTAAAATAATTTTTTAGTATAAATATTTTTTAATTAAAAAAGTAATAAAAAAACTGTCTCAAATGAAGCCTAAACAAATCAATTAAAAAAAAATTGCATAAATGCACTGTAAATAAATATCTAAAATACCTTGGCCAGAACCATCAATCCTCTTACTTCTATACATCTGATATAGAGAAATTCAAACAGAAAAACATAAAAATTCAGTAAATATTTATATATGGAAGAGTAGCTAGCTAATAAATCTACAAGAAATACGTTGCTAAATTTTACTTACTTGTAAATGGCTTTTGACGTGTGTGATGCTGAGTCCCCTAATGTTCATTAGTTGCAGAACAAGCTTAGGCGTTGCTCCTGCAGCACAAAGATATATATAAAATAAATAATACAACAATATTAATAGAAGAATTGAGAAAATGCAACTAACGATTAGTGATTAAAGAATAGAGAGAAAAAAATATAATCATAAATTAAATTTGGATAAAATGTTATTCAAATTTATTTCATAAGGCAAAATAACTATTCATAAAGCAGACTCAATTATATAAATAGGGAAGGATATGATTAATGATGATGATTAGGAATCAGTAGATGATGTTAAGAAGTTATGGAGCCTAAGTTTTTGTTTATGAAAGAAAATATGCTATATATTCCTATTTAGGGTTAATTACACTACAGGAAAAATGCCTCTTACCGGCGGTTATGACCGCCGGTATTACCGGCGGTGTGGCCGCCGGCTCGTACCGGCGGTGTACCCGGGGATTTCGTAACGTTGGACCGCCGGTATTAGCGACGGTCTTGTAACCGCTGTAATTTTTTGGAACTGCTGTAATTTTTAATAAAGACAGTAATAAATTTGATGTGGCGAAAATAACTTTTTTGAAAGCTATTGTAAAAAAGCAATTTATTGGCACAAGAATTTCATCTAATGAAAAAGTAATGACCAAATAAAAATTACGATTGTGGCCTTAAAAACAAAGCAGTAAAAAAGTTGTCTCAAATGAAGTCTTAGATTTCATTTGGGACGACTTTATTATTATTGCTTATTAAAGTAACTTTTTAATATACAAATTAAAATATTTGTACTAAAATATTACTTTAAGAAATAATAAGAATTAAAGAGATCTCAAACAAAACCTTAATCAAGTCAACTATTACGATAATGCTGTCTCCAAGATAATCAATATTTGTGAATTATTTTTTAAGGATGTGCTTTTATTGTTTGTTATGTTGCCTTCAAATTTTTTTTATAAATATGAGATATTGTTTTATGTTTCTATTACCAAAATAGCGGATGAAATTCTTTAAAATTAAATCATCTTAAGCTCTGCATTGGAGGTAAGAGGCTAAGAGCTAGAATATAGTCATCAAATTGATCAACCTAAATATATAAAAACTTTGTTTTGTTTTCATATACTGATTTTCTTTTCTATTCCTTGTTCCATTTTGCTTTAGATGTTTGAATTAAGGCTTCTTTTGAGTCATTTTTTTATTATTTTCTAAAACAAATTTTTAGTATAAAAATTTCTAATTCAAAAAAACAGTATGAGATTAGACCATTAAGATAATTCGTAACAAAACTAACGATCGATCTCACTCCCAAAGCTTTAAAAATACTTGCAAAAGAAAAAAAAAAAAAATTGAACAACTCATCAGGTACTAAATTTGCAGGAGTGAATAGAAAATGAGGATTGCTAATTAAATTCTCTCAAAATATTAATCAGCACAAACCTAATGACTTTACTGAGTTATCAAAATTATATTTTTCAGAACAACAAAGTTAGTGGATCAATAAGATCTAGAATTGACACTACCAAAAAATAGGGTTTTCGCAGCATAAAATTTCACTTTTCCCGGCGGTTATAACCGCTACAATTTATTTTGCAGCGGTCCGAGAACCGCTGCATAACCGCTGTTTTTGCCATCCGCTGCAACGGCCTTCCGCAGCAATATAAGATCTAGAATTGATGAGAAAACTAACGATCTTGTCCTCCAAGTCTTTCAACTGCCCGAGCAAAGCACATATGAAGATCTGGAGTCCATCGAAGCCTTGGAGCTTTGGATCTGTTGTACTGCCTCACAGATCCTGAACTCTTAGGGTTCTTACTTTCCCGTTCTTCATCTTCTTCTTCCATGTTGGAAGAATTAGGGTTTGCTGATTCAATAGAAGAAGCTTCACTGCCCATCACAAGCAACTGCTACAGCTGATTTTTATGAACTTGTAGTTGAGAATATTACTGTCTGCTTGCCTTTCCTATAGAGCAACTGCCATTTTTGCTACTTGAGCTCATCTGAAATAGATGAAAGGAAGGAAAAGAGGATTGAAGGGGAGTTCTGAAAACCCTAGCTAGGCTACTAATTAATTGTTGATGTTCTTCTCTTGTCATCACTCTTATGTTGAAAATATTTTTTTATGTTCTCTGGGTCATCTTTTTCAATGAAATACCCAGTAATAAATAAATAAAATTTAACAAAATTTCATTCAAATTATCATAAAAATATGTATCATACTCACTCACTTGTTATTTTATATATAGGTCATCCAATTCTTACATTTAAATTAATGTCATTTAAATTTTGGAGTTGAAATATATATATATTTTTCTTTTTTTTACAGCATCTCAAAACTTTATTCAAACAATCAATTAATTGGTTGGGTGGCAATGTCTTTAATCTCTGTAATGAATGTTCAAACTTTGAATCATTCAAAAAAAAAAAAAAACACATCAAGTGAATTTTGAAAATATTATGATTCAGAGGTAATGAATCACAAAGATTTTCTAAGAAAACTAATTATTATAAAATAACATATTACTATTAAGTAAGACATAAAATAAAATAAGTTTAAGAAATTAATAATTATATTTAAGAAATGTTTAAGATAATACTAGGGGCTATTTGGTTCGACTGCAACATTCTATAAAATGTGCATGGTTGTAAAACTATAGCAAAAAATGTAATTTTTAAAAAGGTTGTTGACTAAATTTTTTTTTTTTTTTTGTTAAAACTTGCAGTGGGGCCTACGCGTTGATATTAAAAAAAACGGTTACAGAGTCCTTAGAAGGAACCTCCAGCTCGCTAATGCTCGAAAGAGCTACAAGAGAAAAAGAAAACAAAGTTCCTAAGAGCCGGTGGTTCCTTTTACTAAGATAACAAAAAGGAATGAAATAAACACTCGGACTGTGAGTAAACAGTACCCAAAAAAGGAAGATCGGAATATAATCTTTCAGCATAGATCTCCTGCAAAACTGAAAACAAAAATAGAGAAAAACAAGATGCGAAAAATAAAAGGAAAATACCTTGCAGTCATTGAGGCTCAAAAGCAAAAGGATCATAAAGTACATGTAAAGAATTCTCCCAAAAAAGTTGTGATACAAAAGGTAAAACGATAAAATAACCCCCCACAAATCTCTTTGTTGTAACAAAACTTAAAACAGTCATAATAGCACCTTAAAAAGGCATACAAGAAGCAAAATAACACATTGAATATCAAAATAACCTTACCAGCCACCATACCAATATCATAAGTAGTCCAGTAGAACATCTTACAGCATTCCTGGCAGACATCATTCCAAGAAAGCCTTCCATGTCAAGATTTAGCAGTAAAAACAAGATCAAGTAAATACCTACCAGTTATGATATCAAAATTCCCAGGCGAATAAGGCACGGCCAGAAAAGACAGGTAATTCACATAGATATAGACCCATAAATTAATGTGCCAACCAAAGACTTGCTGCCACCAACTATACAAATCTAACTTGAAAACCCAACTGAAATTGGTGCACAAACCAGCCTAGCAAAAGGAAGAAAAACAGGACTCGGAGAGCTCCAGAAAAACAGAAACAACACACTGACAAACACCCTCCCAAAAATAGAAAAACTCAAACATTCTGAATGTAAGACATACCAGCTTTATCAAAGAGAACCATACCTTTCAAAATAGGATTTAACATGCTAATATCCAATTCTTCATAATTGGGTAAATAACAGTCTTTTTTGGCTAACCAATCAGCACAAACGTTAGTTTAATCTCCCTAATTAAATAGAAAGGTAATGTTTAATCTCCCTAATTAAATAAAATTTTTGAGGATTACCAGGAATAACATCATTTATAATCTGAATAAGAAGCATAGCATCCACCTCAATCCAAACATTCGTGAAACCCCTCTTGATGCAAATGTTCAGACCATAATTTAAAGCCATAAGCTCAGCTGTAATTACATTACAAAGATGAACAAGGGCAGCAAAAGCAGCCAGAACAAAACCAGAGTGGTCTCGAATGAGACCACCAGCACCCGCATAATTATTATCAACAGAACCATCCGAATTAAGCTTCACAAAAGGAGGCTTGGGTTTAATCCATTTGACAATTGTCTCAATAGAGACAACATTACTACTATTGACAGTAATACCAAAAGAAGTAATCAGATGCTTGCAATGTTTAAAGTTTTGAGAAGTAATAATATTGTAAGAGAAAGCTTGCAAAACTTTAAAACGAATGTTAGAAATAATCTGGGAAGCCTCCATCTTAATAGCATTGTGCTTCGCATCATTTCTTGCCTTCCAAATATACCAAAAATATAAGAATAGCAATGAAATTAAAGATATGGCCTTTAGAAGCATTAGCCATAAGCTCCATAATCGACGTAACATTGTTATGATTAAGGTTAAAGTTAATTTTGGCAAGATTACAAAAATAAATCCAGACTTCCTGGGCAATAGCACCATTGTTGACTAAATTATAAATATGTTATTTTTCAAAAAAAATCAAACCGTTGTTTTCTTAGAGCTACTACGTATTCATTAGCAACTCTGTTTGCAAAAAGCAAATTTCAAATGAAAAAATATTTAAAAGGAAAAAAAATAGCAAACTAAAATTAAGGTTGTTGTCAAAAAAATAAAACAAGAACAAAGCTGTACTAAACAAATCCTAAATCAAAACAGATAGAGAGAAAGGTGGACTATGTAACCATATTTTTGAAATCATAAAGTTGATCAAATTTTAATTTTAAATTAAATAAAATAATTTGGAGTAGTAAAAAGAAAAAAGAGCTAGTAGCCTATAGTTTATCTAAATTAAAAATAATAGGACAAATTAAGAGCTCCTAACACAAATAATTGATTATTATGAGTGATATTATATAGTGATTCACGACATAAAATTCATGGATCATCAATTAATAAATTTTAAAAAATGAACATATTAATATTAAATAGATAATGAAAACATTTACACAATTTTTGAAGGCATTTATAGAACATATAAATATTTAAAATTATAATCATAATAAGGTTTTTATTTACTTCAACATTAAAGCTAAACAAAAATGATCATAAACACATTTACAATAACTTCGAATATATTTGCATAAAATGTACGTACAAAATATAAAATTGCAATAATGTTTCTAACTTTGTCATCATCATAAATTTAAAATAAAAATATTTTATAAAATATATAATTAAAAGCATGTGTCATCAGAAGAAATTCCTCCTTATCAAATATTCATGTTCATTTTTTCCTAATTTATTCGTTTATTTTTGTTTATTCTAGCATGTATTAGGTTATCATGATGTTGCATTATGGATGTTTGCTTGCATGCATGCATTATATATATATTTTTATGTGTGAACATGTTATGCATGCATGCTTGAAGGATATATAAAATGGGGAAGATGCGAGCTGTCGACCAGAAAATATAGAGAAAATTTCCGGAGAGAATCACGGAAGGTTGACAGCTTAAATAATTTGCCACCAAATAATGTTTATTCTTCACATTTTTTTATTTTAGTTTATACACCGTGAAATTAGAAATATGTATGAAGTATTACTGATCATTTCTAAGAAATTATCATTCTCTCTCTCTCTCTCTCTCTCTCTCTCTCTCTCTCTCTCTCTCTCTCTCTCTCTCTCCCTCTCTCTCAAGTTGAATATAGATAGGTGATTGACGTTGATATGTCACCAAAAACATCTTGATCAAGCGCAAATCTCGATGTGAATATGCATCAAAAGCTTAAAAAATTAAAAACGGAACCATCTGAACTCCGATTTTAGCAAGCTTATAATCAAATTGAGTGTCTCAAGGAGACGAACCTAACGACATGAAATTAGATCCAATTCGAGCCCAAATGGGTCCAAATCAAACAACCAAAGCCTACGTAAAAGCTTCAAGAGTATTAATTGAAAGGTTAAATGATATCCAAATGTGATGTGACTCTATGAGACGAATCCAACGAGCCCAAGATCGTCAAATTATGACATCATTAAGATATTCAAATGTTTGATGAACGATCCATGATTCATGTAGTGGATATCGGCCGTCCATTGAAACACTCAACATACCCTTGATCATCTCCCTATTTACTAGTCATATCACTAAAAAATATATAAATAGACCTTTCATTTTTCAGTGAAGAGAAAGAGAATATGAGCAAATTAAACTAAAGAGCTCTCTTATATTATCCAGTCATCGTCACTGCCGACGACCACTAGTTTTCACCACCAGCAACCATCATCACCATCGGCAATCGACATCATAAATCATCAACATCTCTAAAATATTGTCAAGATTTGATTTAATTTTGGATACGTACATACATTTTTGGGTACGTACGTACATACATCAATAAAGTTATTTGTGAAGCTATTTTAAAAAAAAATTGTTAGTATCAAGTCTGTGGTGTAATAAATTGAAATCTATTTTTGGTTATAAGAAAAATTAAATCCAAGAATAAAACATCTTTTTATTAAAGTTATTTATCCCTTAAATAAAATTTTGATGAGAAAAAAAACTTTTAAATCTTTAGAAAATTTCAATGAGGAATTAATTCCCCACCAATGAAGAATAGGGAATTAGTGAAGAATATTCTCTGTCAAATCTTAATAGAATGTACTCATATTGCATTGAAAATTTCATTTATTTTAATCTTACAAAACATTCACAAAAAATATTAATCTCTTGAGTTTAAAGAATAAAAACAGGTAAGAGCTATTTATCTTACAAAATGTAAAATCATGCATTACAATAATCCAATGAGCTGTAAGCTTTTGTACATCCACATTGAGATTAATTAAAATAAAAAAACAATGACTAATTATTTTCTAAAATAGCTCTCTGCTAGCCATCCTTGCTTTCATTTAAGATCAAAGGTCAAACCATCATTGAATATTAATAATTATTTCAAGACTTAGGGGTCAAAACGAGTTTGACAGGTTGGATTCGAGGTCGACCTGAAATTGATATGTTTGGAATCTAGTCAACTTGAATCCGACCCCTTAGCAACTCGAATGATTTGAACTCGATATGTAACCATTTTTAGTTAAAAACAAATTATAATAATTGATAAAAAAAAACTAAGAAGATTATACCACAAATA